AACTGCAGTAATGGCATATTTCCCAAGGGAGTAGCCCAACGATGATCACCACCAACTTTGCATCTTCATTTTCCCTTTTGACAAGTATGTAGTGCACATTAAAGTCAAAGTTCAGGACGACGAATTTCACAAAATTAAATCCAATTGCATTTAAATAGTAATGCTCAATTTTAATTTTAGCATCTTGAATTGAAAATATTTTGAGCTCATTCCCAGTTACTCACTTTCCAATTTCCTCTCTCTCTCTCTCTCTATCTCCCTCTCTTTAAAATATAGTTTATGCGGTTTCGTTGGCCTGTTTGGTTCAACAAAGTTTGGAATAATCCCAAAAGTTCGCTTATTTCTGTTTGGTTGTGGAGGATAATTAGAGAGAAGTTTGACTTTAGTTTGAATACCGAAATTCACTCAGCATGGGTAGGAATCCAAAGTTGGGATATATGAATACAATAAAATGCGTGACTAGAGAATAGTAGAAAATATTAGCGAAATGAAGAGAAGTAGAGAGTCGTACGTTTTGCACAGTGTTGAGTTATTCTTGCTGAGACTTTGAATCGAATAACAACAAACATTTATTTACCCTTTAACTTTTAGATACATGCGTAGGAAGGGCTTCCTTCGATTCGTATCTATCTTATCTTGTTTGTTAGGTAACAGTGAGGAACATCCACTGCTAGAAAATATCTGTTAAATCTGATCACTTTTGAGCTGATTTATCTCATTAAAGATAGGAAATTCGTGGTTTATGAAATGTGCTGGAGTGAGTGGAGTAATTTAAAGGGGAAGTTTGAGATTAGATTAATTCAAGATAAGGAGGAGGCACTGCATAGGAAGAAGTAAATACATAAATTCAAAGTCAAGGAGCGCATAAAGTCGTCAAAAAGGGCATAATTCTTCATCGCTTGTTGCTTTTTCCAGAAAGATTAGCTGGATTAGCCACTACATTTTTCGCCTTCATAATTGTCCCACTGGAGCCAGTTGTCATTAGCGGTGGCAGTGAAAATAGTTCCCTCATTATCACGTAACATTAATATAACAGAAATAATCTAGTACTCAGATCCACCCAGAATCTATAGAATTATAATGTATGATTATATTACATGAAAGTTCTACAACAAATTCATTACACGAATTTCATACTGTATTCCCCACAAAACTGTTGCAACTGCATGCGTACCTTAAACCTTGCTGAAAGCATTAAAACCTTATCTCAATTGTGCAATCGGAACGCATTAATATTGGCAGTGGGCTTAAAATACGGAGGAATGAAGTCTCCGCAGAGCTTTGCCTCTGAAAAAATAATATTCATCCAAACGTAATGAGCATGGGGTACGCAAGACTTGAAATTAGAAATCACTATTCCGCTATTTTGCTATCAAATAAATAATATCCGCTATCAAATAATAATACACACGCAACGAAGATATGCTAAATTAAGAGTATGTAGTAATAAGTGGTTTCGTGTACAAATGAAATTAGTAACCAGTGTAATGCTTCACAACGTATTTATAGCACGACTTATCCATCAGCTTTCATTAATCCGAAATGTTAGTAACAAAAGGCGCTTATTGTTCTTTTGGTAGTAATTTAGAGTGCAGGGCGGTGTTGGAAAATAATGCAAAATACCTTCCTTCTTCCTTGAGAGGGCAACAACAAATATTCTGGGATTAGATACTTTCATTCCACGGAAATGTATTTTTCTTAGAGAACGATGAATGCCATGTTCAGTCACGACACACTGCCTGCCTTCTTCCGTGGGTGTAATATGGAAGGGAGAAGAAGGATTGGAGTGGGAGCCAGAAACTGCAAATGCTCTACTACAACGATTTGTATAAAGATTCAGGAATGTCGAATATTTCAACATTCAGCTATCCGATCCCTTTTCTAGTTAACGGCTGTAAGAGGAAACTTCAGCTAGAGCAGACTTTCCGTGCATTTTTTTCTTCTTGTACGAGTTCAGATTTCATCTGCAAAACAAGATGATGCGTAGAAGGAAGTGGATCCGAAATTGTATAATTATCAAGGACATAATAATCTAAAGGTTGTATCCGCCGCCGACGGCTGCAATGAAACGATAAGTTTTTAAAATCGCTGAACCGAATTTCCCTTAAGTGTTCACAATTTCGAAGAAAGGAAAGAAATCCATCGTCTACTTTTTCGGATCAAATATTATTTTTGGTACCGGGAGCCACTTGTGAGGACGGTGTCTGCTTATGTGAGAAGAGGAAGGTGGCTTTTCTGCGTCCAAATATATGGACGTAGAAATGTATTTAGTCGTCGATGCCGGCAGTGCTCTCGACGAGACGAGTTGAGAGGAAGGAGGAGAAAGAGTGGAGGAAAGTCTTTTGAGCATTTCTTGGGGAATACAATTGAAACTCTGACATTTAATGCTCATAAATAGGAAATGATTTTCGTCTCGACTTTCTCCTCTCGGCTTTGGCATGGCATTTTCTGATAACATTCACTTCCTCCATTCTGCCATTATTGCAACTGACGACTATACACAGTCATCTCATTACTACCACCACCACTCCCATTATTATTACTCGCTTATTCTTATTCTCTGGCTCATGTTGCCGATTCAGATTTCAAAAGCGATCATGCTCAATGACTACCTAGCAAAGAAAGTCAAGTCGGCACAATAAATTGTATAAATAAGGTAAACACTGTAATGCTACCAGTGTGACGGCTATGTGTGCCCCATTACTAGGATTTTGCTCTTATTCCGCTCTGAAACTTGAACCTTTTTCCTCCCCTTTTGTCCCGAAACTTCTTTTGAATTTAGAGTTTTCAGTTGCTGTTAAGTTTTCAAAACTTTAAACACACACCGATTGAAGGGGTGTGTTCTACATATTTTAATTTCAATAAATTCCTACGTCTCGTGTTACCTCTTGTTCACCCTGTCAACTGAATTCACCTGAATTCTTTAAATGTCTATATAATTCTAGCAAAGCTACTCGTATGATGTCGGATTAGAGGAATTTTAAATTGTCCAACTGAGATTACTCGCTAAAAGGTGAAGCATTTAGGCTTAAATTTTACTACCATGGCGGAACCCATGATGTACCAACTCTTGCCAAAGCCATCTTGAGGGGCATTAAGACAGATCTGATAGTTTCTGTGGCTTCCCAAGTGACTTATTAGCTTTTTAAGTGAAAACGTGCCACTTGGGTTGGGGAAACGTGTTGCCTTTCACTCTTACCCACAAACACACATGATCCTGTAGTGCGAAACCTGGAGAAAGGTATTCGACCGTCCACGAAATCGTATTGTATTGAGTGAAGGAAGCAGAGGGGAGGCAATACAATGTAAGTGGTGGTTGGTGTGAAGCTTTGGTGTGCGTGCGGTGGAAGTTTTATTGGTTGTTCCTTCGGCGAAGATGGTGCCAATGCCAAGGAGCTAAATATATGGACGCGTACGAGTTAGGAGTGCATATGAGTAAGAAGTTATCCCCAACGCTCTCCTCGCCCCCACGAGTTGATTTGCTAAGGTTGGGATGAAATGGTTGGTGGTGCGAGTCCATAAATCATTAGCATATTATGTCTCCCTCAGGTCTTTCAGGCCCCAAATCCATTAACTCTTAAAACCTTTCATTAGATTTCTCCCACAATGTGTGTGTGTATAACCGTGGGGAAATATGAGGCAATCACCTAAAAAGTTCAGATTTGCTGGATTTCACAGTGTTTAGCCTGGATCCACAGGGTAAGGCTTAATGTGTTGTAGAGTTAGGGACGTTAGGGTATCTGTGGTATTTCTACGAGTCTGAAATCGTCAGCGAGTCCAATAAAAATGAGACTTGATCTGACATTTTACAGAAAATCAATATGACACGTTGTGAAGGAGGATAAATTAAGACGGGGAGCGGATAGAAATGTGAGAACCGGAGAGAGAAAGGAAGGACCTACAGTACATTATCTATTTGTGTCAAGGAGGTGGAGATAGCTCTATCACGATCACTCTCTCTTCATTGGCGGCTGGCTGCGGCGGATATTGAATGCAATGCAGTGTTGGCTGGGGCACTACATTTTGAATGTGAATCGGAGATGAGAAGACAATGAGAGGACGGATTTGTTGGAGGAGTTGCTGCTGGTGGTGGTGGAAGTCGTGGTGGTGTAGGAAAAGGTGCTCAATATTTATTAGCGGGAAAGTTATTAGCTTGTGTACTCAACCACTGCCTGCTCATCACTGCTCATCAGCCGTTGAATCTCAACCCAGAGAAAAGGCTCGAACTTTCCTCGCCAAAAATATTTTTTTTTAAGTTTTGACATATTTAAAAAATGTCCCCCCTCCCTCCTCCACCATCGTCCTCGGATGATGAGAAGGAAGAAGAAGACAAAACATTCGGGCGTCCAGTGAGGAGAAGAAGAATTATCCATTCGGATTCCTCTCAATCTGATGACTCGGACTTCGAAACCGTTCCTAAGAAAAGGTATTGTATTTATTGATATGGTATACAATATTTTGTATGGAATATTTCCAGGATCCGGAAAAGGAAGAAGGTGGTGGTGTCAACATCCTCAGATTCTGCTGCTGAGGCATCGCTTCGTGTCACCAGATCAGCTGGACAGGCGGTAATGACCCACGTGCCCAAGAGTGGTGATTCAGGTGTTAATACTTCTGCCAGGTAAGAATGTTTTTTATTACTTCATCCAATAGATTCATGGAGGATACGGTATGATGAATGTAATAATGTTTGATTTATAGATCAAAATCAGCGGCCAATAAGAAGAGGCAGATGAATCTCCCAGACTCATCCTCACGACCCGAAAAGTTGACTTTGCGCTATCGAACACACAAAAGGGAAGTGGAGTTTGACCATATCAGCACGACGGGGACTAGATTGTACCGGAATGTTAATGCTCCAAGAGATGTTCCAAGGGCAGAGCAAGTGTGGAGGGACAACATGAAACAAAGGTAAGCACGAAGGATATAATACATCTGGAAGCGAGTTAATTGTATTTATTGTTTTAATAGCTACTGGAACAACCCTCCACGATTCGCCCTACCACGAACACCATCACCTGATCTATCCTCTGAATCCGAAACGGATCAAGAGATTCAGGTGGAAGGGCACCGATATAAAATCGTCAAAGTACGGATGTCTATCACTAAAACACGTGGAAAGTACAGGAGACTGTACAGGACTGAAGGGAGTCATATAACGGTCCCTATGACAAAAGCAGCCCTGATAAACCAGATGCAAGCCCTGTAAGATATATGAATTATTGATTAATCTTCAAATAAATGCATTTTTAATCTGTTATAGGTTCGAAGTGCATGAACGGGAAAGACATCGATCCAGAATCACCAACTCTGCTCCCTACGACGTCGTTAGTGTCAATGGCTCGACGTACGAGCTGCGGTATGACCTAGACGAAAGTGATAGATCCGGAAGGGATATGTTCCGTTTGAAAAACGGAAAACAATGTCGGACCAAACCAGCATGGATCAAACATATAGAAGGATGGTATGCTATTTGGTGATTTATCTACTATTATATATCATTAATTACTATGTATGCTTATTTACAGGCAGCGAACTAATTCACAAGTCACGGAGACGGTGCGAGAGTGGCTGACCCATCAAACTCGGCCAATGTAATGAATATCATTCCAATTTATTATAATTTATCAAATTATTTGGCAAATTAAAATGTACCAATTTCTTTCTAACTTACAGGCCACGAGAGGTGATGAGAAGAATAACTCCGTTCAAGATTAATCCTAAGCGGATACATCGAAATTCTACCGATGCCATTGCCGACACCGAAACTACTAAAGAAATGAATGCACATTTCAAGGCGACGGATGAAGCTAGAGATGCCTTCACCAGCAGCCGTAGACGATATGTTTATTTTGTTGTCATCATACCGGAAGCATTGGTTCGTCATATTCAGCCGAATTCGGCTGGATATTGTCCCGAAATATATGACTGGCTACGTGACCACGAGGACCACGAAAACATCTCCGTTCAACTCTACGCGGGAAGGAACTCCAGGCAAGCTCCAGACAATTATTCATTAAATTCGTAATCAATCATGTTTCTCTTAACAGGCGCCCAGAGCCGTCCGCCCATACTTTCAAGTCGGACATGAGGACGTCCATCCGGCGAGAGGTCAACGCTGGGGGTCGAGCCTTTCTTCTCCATGTCCAAGAGGAAAATTACCCAACTAGAAGAGCGGCCCGAACCGGAATTGTTACTTTGGAAGCAGCTGTAATTGTTAGTAAAACTGGATTTGTCATCATTCGGGTGTGTCCCTAAGAGTTTTTTAAATTAATTATATAGGCATATCTCTCGTGGATCAGCCCCCATACTCCGAATAATTCCCAAGTCGGGAAATTAAAGTACATACGAGCGAATCGACACGCAGAAACAGACACCTTCATGGATTCCAACCCATTGATCAAGGACCATATCCTCGCAATGGCGTCCACCACATCACGTCGTCCTTTCCATTTCCTCCAGGACCCTTCTATCCCCTGTCCCATTGACCATTCTTACCCTGGTCAGCCATACTCGGCTATGATACATCCCGACAGAGATATGATCACGGAAGTGTTCCTTGATAAGTCGAAAAAAGAGGAATCGGCAAACCAATCTTCAGAAAAAGAATCTGACACGGACGACGTTTTCTTATCAGAATATGTGGAGGAAGATGAAGATGAATCCATGCCGGATAAATCAACTTCGCCACGGACGACCTCGACTCTAATCTCGAATCAATTCCTTGCCGCCCTACCTTTTCAACGGGTAAGAACTAATCAAAATCAAATAATTACGTTAGTAAATTATCATATTTCATTAATTTCCAGCAAAGCCGAAATCATAGTTGTGGGATGAACGCAGTGAACAACTTCACCTTGCGGGGATCGATTTATGGGAGGGATGTATTGCAGAGCATTGTCGCCAACTTGGAGGCTGAGGAACAAAATGTGGTCGATACCGGAGAGGTAAGTACAGAGTAGGAAAATTTATCATTGTTAGATTTATCATCGAATTTTCTGACTAATTAATTATTGGCAGGTCGACCCAGGAGCTTATGGAAGCGAGCTTGGAGACTACAACGTCGTCGTCTTGGAACAGGCGCTCATCATGGCGCAGTATCAAGTGTCGCGAAGATCAATTGATTTTGACATTGATGCATCCATTGGATTCATCTACAATCCAGGAAATCATTGGATCGCCGTGAGACGAGTTCAAGACCAGTGCAGTTCGACAGTTTGGCGGAAGAAGCAGTTGTCATTACACCATTGGATGTGATGAAACTGGTCGTGAAACATTGTATGTTTTTTTAATTAAGACAGCTTTCAATGGTTGCAATATATTATCTTTTGATTTATTTCAGGTAACGCCATCCTCGTTGTAACAGGAGAGAATGGACAGCCTGATTAGCGGAGAGAACAACAACAACTGCGGATTTAAAATTTGCGTGCGCATCATATCTAAAAATAGTACGCAAACCTCCGAACTTATGTAATCGTCTACCTGACAGTTTTGCAAAGTGATTTTGAATTCTCAAATGAGGCTTATCTATATTTGTTATTTTTATAGCTTACATATATATAATAATATAAAAATATAATATAAAAAATTATGGTTGTCACCGTTCTAAATTATGGTTCTCACCGTTCTTGTTGTTAAATAATTGCTCATTATGGCTTCCTTGCCCATTCTGTAATTTGTGGTATCTCTTCTCTGTGGCTTTTATATTAAATGTGTCCCACTACCAAACCAACGGTATCGGGTTTTCCCACTGCTCCCCAAGCCAACTAATTGTTATTTACATTTTATATTGTTAAAGTTTTTGATTGAAATTAAATGTGTTGTTGTGTTTTCTAGCATGTGTCTTATGGTGGTGTCCCTTTACATGAAATACATACCTTTGAGACAGTGGTTACTGTCTGCCTTGGGTAGAGAGATAGACCTATCAAAAATTTCCCAACTTCATAAAGTTCTCGTTGTGGGGAATTATTTTGTGGTTCTCGCACCCTAACTCAATGTGTCGGTCTGGAGGTGAAAGGAAGCAACAGAACAAATATAATACGCATCCATTTTGAAACCAAAACTTAACCAAACCAAACGTAGAAAATACTGCAGAAAGAACGGGTTGACAGATGAATTATTAATCTGGAGGAAATGTAGGCTTACAAATCCTCTTCCACCCTCTTCTTCCCTTTCTCTTGAGCCAAACTCTGTCTACTTGTTCCCCAGAGGAGCAAAAGTGAACCAGTTAGACCATCACCGCTATCACCGTCAGTTCAATGTCATTTCTTCAAAATATGTGAAAGATAAAAGATCACCACCACCACTCGCTTCCTCGCAAAGTAAGTAGCCGAGAAGTACACAAAATATATGTATGTGAAAGAGGTTTATTTGCTTGTAAATGCTTTCACTGCTCTTTAGCTTAGCAGATTTACTTGTTAGCAAAGAACAAATGCGGATTTGAATTCTGCACTCAAAGTTCTAAAGATTTTCTTCTTGTCTGTTTGTCCTAAATTGTAGGTGGACACGCTGGACAAGAAAAGGATAGAAATACATACATACATACATGTCAATGGCCCATTCTCAAGATAAAGAAAGACTGAGAGAGAGAGCTATTGATTCGTTTTTTGTGTTTGTTTGTTTGAGGAGTCGCAATGTGCTGAACATTGTGTAATACATACATACAAATACGAATGCGAGTTATTTATTTGTAGCATGTAGTTCTTAACACTGGGATTTGGTTTCCTTTCTTTTCTACGTATCTCGTGTGATCTGGTGGCATACAAGCATTTTATTTTTTATTTGTTACACACTCACTCTCTGAAACTTTGTTCAAGCAAGAGAAAGAAAAGATGCCGTTAATTGGATTAAGGAGCTGTCAATTAGTCGAAGGATTTCGTTACTTTTACGGATTGACTCAACCAACCATCGTCCATGTCCATACACAGGAAAGAAATGTTGGAATAGAAATGTGTGCTAAAACTTTCTCGCTTGAGTTGGTTGGGTGGTTTGCTCCCATCCAGCGACCCACCATGCCAAACAATGGGCAAATATGTGCTGATCAACAATAGAAAAATTGATAACCAATGACATATGAGAGTAAGCAAAAAGGGGAGGAAGGAGCAGCAGCAGTGGATAGGCGGTCATCGGCTTATTCTTGTGTATGTATTTTATTTGGCACAAACATGGTTGAGCAGGAGGGCGATATTTCATGTTTGAGTGAAAGCGAAATGATTGCACTCGTTCTCGTTTGAGAAATCTGGCTCGAATGAAGAATTTTTTCTTGTACCTTGGAGAAAACTGATTTTATTTGTCGGATCACTGCTCCTCCTCCTCCTGCACCACGGACGATGAAGCAGGAGCAGTGGCGGAAGAGAGGAATGAGAAAGACATGCTGGTTGAAGACATTGACATCGCTATTAGATAAATGACCATCGTAATCTTGGTGAATGTGAGGAGGAAAAAATGAAATCGGAGAAGGGTCTTCTGAGGAAGCAGTTAGATTGAATGTTATTGTATGTGGACCCAGGCAGGTAGTGGTGATCGTGGGCATACGAATTGAAACGAACGGACGCACTAGGAACCCAAGAGAGAGGAAAGGATAACATAAATAAATCCGTAAATACTCTGTTTTAGCTGCTGGAACTGTGACCCACAGTACATACTAAATAAAAATGTGTGGCGGAGGAAAGGACACGCCACTTTTTTACAATTCTAAAACCGAGCCGTTCGATTAGTTGTTACAATTGAAAAGATTGTTGGATTGAAATTTGAGCACCATAATTTGAACCACTACTACACACTTTTAAGGCATAAATTATTGAAGCCTTATCCCTACCGACCAATGGATCATAAAAATGGAAAGCTGCAGATGACCAGAGAGGCAGAGACTCGGTTTCTTAAATCACGTCGTCGCAAGCAATCTTCCGAGCAGGCAAGCATTTCCCTTTCTTTATATGTATTTTTCTATAACTGTATTTATTTAGCTTACACAAATCCACACAAAAGTCCGAATATGTGGGATTCGGAGAAAAGTCTGAGAATCCCAAATATTCTGTTGACTTCGTCTCAAGTCCAGTCGGTTGATATTTCGAATGATGATGTAGGATGCCTTTTCTTGTCGTTCCATGTTTCAGATATTTCTTTCGATACTTTTTCATACTTTCTGCGTCGAACTGGCTGACTGGATGGGCAACATGCAGCATAAGAGAGCAAAAGTACATGTGTAGTGTGAGGAGAAAGTTGAATCCACGAGAGTGAATTGAAAGAAATATTCCAACGACGACTGGACTGGAGAGAAAAGTTACAGTTTTATTCTGGACATGGCGACTTCGACTTATGACTGAGTACGAGGAGGGAGAGAAAGAGTTGGCCACATTATACTATTTCTTAGCTTTCGCTACACTGAATGATCCAATTTTTTCACTTTTACTTTGGCAGAGTTGAGATATCCCAGAAAAATTATAATTTATAAACATCATAATTTTGGGTTCAATGATTCGCAATTTCTCTTATCAAGACTACAGCATTACTAAAACCATTAGATTGAAATATTTCTGAGAAGAACGAAGAAATCTTTTGTAAGCTTGAGTGAAATAAATTACGTCTTTGTCATCGATCAACTCTGCTGACGGAGAGTAATCATAATAATGAAATAATTCCTTAGAATTTGAGACAATCAGATCTGTATTATCAACGTGAAATACCTAATTTAGTTTAAAATCACTGCTATCCAAACCCCAATCAACCCTCAGAGAAAGTCATTGTGTTATACAAAATGTGCCCGCTGATACTCATGTCTGATTGATTCAAAGCAATTGTTCCACTGGCTGGATGGAACCTGTAAAATTACTCTAGAAAACAACTCTCTGACTTAATTGAAAGCCTCCAAAGTTGTTGGAAGAAGAATTGAAAACGTGGGGGCATCGCAACAGTGGTATAAAATTAAGCGGAAGTTGGTCGGAGTAGGAGGAGCAGCATTAAAAGTTCAAAAGCTGCTGCTGGGAGCCAAAAGAGAGGCACTGAGGAGGAGGCTGTGGAGAGGAGCAGGCATTTGTAGAAATGTGTGGATTGTCAGGAGCAGATGTTCTGGAGAGAAGAAGAAGTAATTAGAAAGCGTGTCACATCACCAACCATCTCCCATTCTCCCCAAGACTTCTTGGCACTGCTGAGAGGAGAGAGACAAAGGAGGGTGGACGACAGGGAAGAGGAAAGAGTAACTGATGAGTCGTTCTGACTGACACCTTCCAACCTTCCACTCGGGCACACATCAAAAACTAACTGATTTCTTCTGCTATAACAAACACCAGTCATGGAAAGTCAGGCAGAGGTGGAAAAAGAGAAATTCACCCACGACGAGGAGAGAGCGAGAGAGCTGAAGAAGTCTCGACCATTTTCTACGTGTGACCATTTTATTCATTCCATTGGATGGGCAGACGAGTCCCAAAGTGTTGGAGTGTCAATAGACAAAGTTCTAGCAGTGTGGTAAAAGGTGAGGACCTAAAAAAAATCACCAGCACCACACACGAGCAAGAATTCAATGTATGTAAAGAAGAAGGCATGTGTATTTGAGCAGAAGAGAAAGCGAGTGAAAGTTTTTGGGTTGTATATGAATATGAGGGAAAAATCTTGCTTGTCACCTTTCTTGTTGCTAAATAATTGCACATTATGGCTTCCTTTCACCTTCTGTAGGTTGTTGTATTTCTTTGCGGCTTTTGTGCTAAATATGTGGTGGCACTTTCTACCGTGTCCATCGGGGTGGATCTTTCTGTGAAATACTTGGAACACAGGTTACTGTGTATACGTAGACCTTTCAAACGTTGTGTATAACTTTTCGAGCCATGACCAACTTTATAAACTTCTTGTGGGAAATTATTTTGTGGCTCTAACTCAAGTGTCGGTCTGGAGGGGAAAGGAAACAACAGAAGAAATATAATACGCATCCGTTTTGAAACTCCAACCAGTCCGACATTCTGAGCATAAAAGAGTAAAATGTAGGGTGAAAGTGAAGCGAAATAACCAGCTCTCAACATAATGGATCACTTCACAATTGAACAAGTTGAGAAACCTGAAAGTGCTATTGTGCTCAAATTGAATACTTTAGTTAAACGCTCAAAGTTTTGATGAAGGGGTTACTCTCAGAGAAACAATAATAATTGCAGGGCATTAAATCAAAGTGTAGAGGAAACAGGAAAATGCAAATTTTGTTAAAAGTTCCCAATTCGATATGAAGTTGGGGAAGAAGGTACTGATAAGTGAATACATGTAGTGTGCATCATCCACGTACACGTACACGCTGGCACACATATATTAGTAAGCACATATGAATATGTGTATGCACTCGTCACATATTCAGATGATGATTATGTCCCCGATACTACGTGTATTTGTGACACAGTTCATTATGAAACACGGGTGCATAGATGTGTGTACTTTGTGAAATACAAAGTCAGTGATTGTAATAATTAGAAACATTTTGTATTTCGAGTTTGACTGAGGTGTGAAAATAATGTGTTGTACGTATTTAAAAGTGCGAAATTCTCATTACTTCAAAATCATGCATTATATTCTCGAACCCATGAATGAATATGTACATGTGCACACGTTATTCTGTTAGAACTAGGCTTGTTAAATGTTGTGGAAGGCGAAAAGAATCAGAAACCGAAAATACTCACCGTTTAAAAAAAGTTCTCATGCAGTGAAAACTTGGGTGCAAATCTTATTGCAGTTGTTTCAGGTGGAGCAGATTGGTGAAACGAACTGTGATGAATTCTTCGATTAGCAAACTATGTCAGAGTCGCTGGCTTGTTGTTATATTATTATTCCAATCCAACTGTCCCCATAAAATGTCGAGGAATTGTTGAGCATATAACAGTCAACAATGATATCAGATTGCAGTCACAGAATGGCAAAAAATGGAGAGATATAATCTCTCCTTCCACTTAACCGTCACTTGCTCAGTACGTTTTCTCCCTGAGAAAAAAAACGCCACTCTATCCAGACCCTTTCCTCCTTTACTTTTAATGGCTACTTGACAGAACTGTAATTTTTGAATTGTGCCAGTCCAGATGCAAAATTGTTCTTGGGTTTGGATTTCACCACTTTTTTTGTTCGTCGTCCTAGCTGCTACTCCCTGTTGTGCTGAGCCAGTCCAGAAAAAACTGTTTCTTCTCAATGGTTCCAACGTTGGTGCACTTAATAGTTATGTGCTTTCTTCACGACAAATATAAATCGGATTTGTTGGAAAAATCTCACCCTTCCACGTTCCACACAAATACAAAGTTTGCAATCAGGTTTCTTGAAATCGTTAGGGCTGGGAAAAATGGTACAAAATTTGATTCGTTCCACTCAAAAGTTGCCCAATTTTTGTATGTCCACGTCGACTTTTATCTCTGCATGAGTTGTATGATGAGGACGATGGCTGGGTGCCTGTAGCTGCTCAAGTGGGTGAAGTAAGTGGGAGAGCAGACCAGCACCATCGACGTAATAGAGCATTAAGGCAGATTTATTCTGCAGGGAAGCGGAGGTGAAATTTTATTTCAATTAAGAATAAAATAATATTCCATTCTTTTATGGAGCAGGAAGCCATGTAGGAGCACGGGTAGCGACTTTGAGAGGGCAATCCAACTTCAATATATTTGGACAAGGGACCACAACCACTGACAGTAATCGTATGTAATAAAGTTATAACGAGCAGCAGTTCTTTGGCACAACCAGACTTTCTCCAGTCTAATTTATCTCACGAAACGCCTCCGTTACCCAATCTTTGACTTTCACTCTTTGTCCATTGGCTTAAAAATATTAAATTCCTCTAATTTGTCCCGCAGCCCGGCTTTGTCCTTACCAACACCCACCGAGTAGATCTTCTAAACTTCGTTTTTAAATTTTGTTCTGGTGGACAAATAATTGTCTACTTGAAAAGGTCAATGGGAATACTTCCCAATAATGAATAAACCATTGGCAAATATTTGATGTATTCACAAATACAATTTTAAGCTGTAAAATCGTGTAAAAATAAAAAAGAAGCCAGCCCTCCGCCTCGTTAAATCAAATTCGTGAATAGGTAAAGCTGGTAGAAAATTCCCGGAGAAAGACGCCAACGGAGCGAACCGTAAAATGAATCGCTTGAGTTGCTGTCGTTGGGAGAGGATGGATGAGACGACCTGAGAGAGAACACAGCTCGGAACACCTTCGCCTTGGATTGGTCTCCTTTGAACTGGAGTCTGGTCTTATAAGCGAATCTTTCTCTCTCTCGCCTGCTGGAAAAGGATCTCCTGTTCTCCAGCCCATGCACTTCCCATCCTCAGCAGCAGCAGCGTGCTTGATGGGTGGGGAAGGAACGGGACGGGACCCGGGTTGCTCAACTTTGCGTGTCGCCCTTCGTTAGGAGCCAACGCTTTCTTCCACTGCTCTTTTGGTTTCATGAATGTGCTTGATTACGGAACGCACTCACACACTCATGCACACACACATGAGGGAAGGGACGTGGAGAAAGTGAGTTGGGTCAGTTGAGTCTCAGGGGCATGTTGCAATTCTCAGGGATATCGAGACGTGGACTGGATAAACACTTTCAGCTTCCCATCCTCCTTCATTTGTCTTCACCATTCTCACCGTTTGACATGTCACCATCGGCGAAAGGTGCAGATTGGAAATAAGCCGGACCATGCACCACGAGTTCTGTTCCCAGTGCCAGATGATCCAATGTGAAAAGATGCATGCATGGAAAATATGCAAACTCAAAGGAGAGTTATTTATTCGTCTAGAAATACTTATGTACATGAATGCATTTCCTAAACGTAGTCTACATATTTTGTAGCTCAACTACTCATGAATACTCAAATATGCAAATTATCCGAGTTCGTTGACCATGTTCAATATGCCTGGGCCTGTTTTTTTGTGTGGCTTTATAAAATTATTTATGATTATACTTTTTACGTAATAATAAGTAAGCTTCGTGTTTCGAAACACAAAATTGATTATATTGCGCAAATATCAGGTAGGTGAAAGTTGGAGAACTATAAGACATTAAATTGCAGTAGATCATGCAAAGATATGTAAAAAGTTCTTTTGCTGTAAAATTTCTTGAATTCAAATTATGCTGAACAACCTGATTTTTCAAGGGCTAATTTGAAGCGAATTTGTCTAAAATATGATGGAGAAAAAAATTTGCTATTCTTGTATTTGACTCCTTGTCTCTTTCCAAGATTGATTGGCGGATTCTTTGTTGACATTTCCACCCTGATGGACAACTATCACGGGATTTTCTCACTCCTTCTTCATTTTTACCCGACTTGTTTCTCACCACCCTCTTTGCGTCTGTGGGAGCCTGTCAGGGAGTCAGTGTACTTTATGCTACATCTTTTATACGCCATGTTCCAACTAATGTTTTCCAGCATAAGAGGCATGCTGGGGGAGGACAGCAGAAAAATCTCGCCCGTTTTCCTATGAAACTGCAAAGAGATAATCCTTGTAAAAATATGATGACAAGAAACGAGGAACCTGCCGCCATATCAACGTTGCAACCTTAGCCTTACACCACCAACCTGTAATACAGATTGGTGTAGCAGTCACAGTCCCAATTTCCTCCAATTTGTTGGTTTAGCTTCTTCGTCATTCCTACTACTTTCTCTAATCCTTAACCCACACAAGGAAGCCGGGCGTATATACATGCATGCGACTAAAGTTAGAGAAGAGGAGGGTGAAGGCGAGAGAACAAAGCTGCAGAATAAATAAGCTCCGTCCACCATTAAATTTAAATGCTATCAAGTTATGTCCAGTTCAGAAGCCTCGTCGACTCGACTCGTAGCAAAATTGGAGGAAAGTCAAGTGTATTCTGTTTCAAGGAGCGAGGCTTTGGCTTATAGACTAGATTTGGGCGCATATTCTATTCTTCCCCGTGTGGATTTTAATATTATTTGGTTGGATTGGGACAAACCTGGGTCCAAAGATAAGGACGAAGAAACCCGGCCGTGAACCTGCAGGAGACTGGTAACAACAAATAACAGTTAACTCTGAGTTAAAACTCGTTCATTGTCACCGGTTCTGCTCCTTAATCGCTAGATTAGCAACAAGGCCAAGACTGGCTCAGCGGCAGCGTTCGTTCTGGAATCGCTCAACTTTCTCCTCGCAAGAAGGGAACCCATCTGCAGCCTTTTCGTTCAATGCTCATAATGCCCCTTGCGTTATTGTCATTCTTTCACCCCTTGAATAAGACTCGGCAAAGGGTTTCTACCAAAAATGAGATTTTCTTGCGTACAACTGGTGTTAAACATTAAGACAGATTTTTTTGACCCAGTGCCCAAGTGGAGTTCAAGCTGACACAATGGTTGATATCAAACGGGAGCTTTCAAGGTCTCACCAGCAGTAGCACTTTGAGAATATCTAACGACCTGCTTAGTCCTTGCCACACTGCGAAGGATTTGGAGAAAGCGGTTGCTTGATGTGCAACAGGACACGATTTAAGAATACAAATAGAAATAAATTCATCTAAATCACCCAGAGTCCTGCTCCATGGCTTGAATAAGAAGTTGAAATAGTGATTCACGGAGAAATCGGTGAGCCACGATGAGCTTTTACATAGCTCTTTTTTCTAAATCGCTATAGTTAGTTAGACAGACAGACGGACGGACGGACACGATGGTTTCATACATATCCCTGGCTCGGGCTAAAAGCGTTCCTGCATATTTTTATGGAGGTTTTTTTTATTGCGAATATATCAGTTTGCACCCAACTAAATATTTACCATCTGATATGGAAAATAATTAGTAAGAATGATAATTTCCCTATTTCCTTTTGAATAATTTACAGATTTCTCCAGTAGCTCTGAAAAATTCAAGGTGAAGGATTAGTGAAGATAATTGTCATTGTCTAGATTCATTTCTACAGATATGCAATACGCAATTACTTTTATTCTTTCCTTCACTGTCACTAATGGCCTGACCTTTTAATGTCCATGTTTATTTAATTTCTAGTGATTGAGGCTTATATGTTCATGTAAATTAATTAGAATGTCTCCGGTCTTCGTTCTTGTGAGCTGTGTTATATTTATCTACTTTTCATAATGTTTGATGCATGTACATATAGGATCTTCCTACAAAAAGCAGCTTTTCTAGTCCAACAAACAATAAGTCCAAAGTGAATTCTTCATTTCTGGAGAAATTAATTAACTGTAATGAACCCCCTGAGCGGAGTTGGGATAAAATGCGCTGCTTGGCGTAATGATCATGAAGCTGATAGCAATGTCCCGTGACAGCCATAAATTTTACGATATGCATATAAATACACAGCTCCATGGCACATATTTTTCTACAAAACTGCTTTACTTTCTGTCTGGGTTTCATTCTGGTCATTTCATTCGTTCTGAGACATTCTGAAGCCAGTGAGTCAGAGACAGTTTGGCAAACGTTGCACAAGATGATTAGAAAAAAAGCATTGCAACGGATCCCCTCGGCAAGTGAGGGGAACGAAGGTTGTAAAATGCTGTTAAGGGACTCGCCTCTACTACAGCAAATGTTTACAAATTTAGTCCCCTACATTAAAATTCAGATAAAGGTTTGCAGCAGATTTTCTTGCATTCCATTCACTTGGGACGAAGAACAGAGACGAATTGGCATTTCAAAGTCAAGGTGGAAGTTGCGATTTTGCAAATTTCAAGTGATCATTCACTGGATTTACACTCTCGCGATGCTGGCATATTTTGTCACTCCGGGTTCCATGAAGTTGAATAAAATGTCCAACAAACTGCTGGGATTTGTATTTTTGTCCTGTCTGATTGTGACCATGTTCATGCAAAGCGTATTTTGGCAAAAACGGACTGAAGCTATCGCATTGTGGAAAGCCTTTAGCGACATTGAAGAGTACTACATTGATCGTAAGGATACACATTTATCTAGCTATGCATCCTATTTAATTTTGATTGAAAAAACACAATAAGTTGACAATGCTTATTTTTTCTTTAGCCAGTGCTGTGAAAAAATCTAAAAGGGATCCAATGTCGCTCGTAATGATATTGCTCGGAATTTGTACAAGTTTTGGCCTCCCTGGATTTATGTGTACGATGCTGCTTGTAGATCCATGCAAACCTCCGCATTTGGGGTACATTCTATACAAAGGTAAAATCTTTCTAGTGGAAACTGCGAGTTTTTTGTACTAATTTCGGTATAACTCTTAGTGAGCTTGGAGACTTGTATGCAGCCCAAGTATCACATAAGGATTCTGCTTCTCATGTTTGACACTTGGATTTGGGCAATTGCAATCTCATCAGCCTGTTATTATGTCTTTCACTGCATGTTCCTAGGGTTGCGATGTCTCGATCTCTACATGCGATTGCTTATCACGTACGTATCTGTTCAATTCTGTTCCCCATCAGAAATTTTTCGATGGATGATTTAAAAGTCTCATCATATTGAGTTACTATTATTGAGTTTCAGATGTACACATACATATAAATGGCTATGTACATACATGATTCGATATTTTCAGGGGAACAAGAAATCCATTACAACGCATATTCAGAACTCAGGATTCAAAAGATCAAGTCGTTTTCCGACTTTATAGAGAATTCCAAATCGTTGTCAAATTTTATAACAAAGTATTTCAAACCGTGTTCATCCCCACCTTGGTAGCAACGGCAATATTTGTAATAATCATTTGCTTGTACACCTGCATAAAGTTGCACAAAGTAATCCCCATGCCTGGATTTGCATTTTTTCCTCTCCTCTCCACGGATGGATTTAGTGTCATTTTCATTTCGAGAATAGCTTCAATCGTCTACATTAAGGTAGTGATAACAAAAGGCTGAGGTTTTCAGAATTACTACAATTTTGAAATGTATACTTTCTTACATATTTCAGTCCAGGTTCTTTGTGACAATGGTTCAAAATTCCAGCAAGAATTCAAGACGAACATGGTTCAGGAAGAATGCAGCTTCGCTTGACAAACTGAAAATTCGATTCGGATCTGGAAATTTCATTGACGAAATGACTCCGCTAGTTTTTTTGGACTTTAGCTTCTCACAAACTGTATCTCTAATGCTTCTTACGTAGAGTATACATGTCGTGATGTTATGCATTTGGTTTTTTCTTATTAAAACCACATGTGTCCATATTTTAATTAATGCTTGTAATTAAATGTGTAGCAAAGCAATACAAATGGACAATCTCACTCAATATTGTACAAAATTTTAAACGATAGATCATAATATTATTGACAGTTTAAGATTAGTTACACTTGCTAATATTTTACAAGATTTCTCTCGAGTATGTCATTCATATTTATTCACGCAAGTTATTGTGAGTTTTATTGGTGGCAACAGTTTGAGCAGGTTCCTCCAATTCTGAGTTTTTCGGAGCTTCGGACCTGAGAATTTTAGCAAGTCCGCTCAACATCAAATAGTACCAGTAAAATTGAGGTGCTATCGATGCGAGAAAGACGAATAGCCATCCCGGGTGCATAGTGCAGAAGGTCTGAAAGTAATTAATTGCATACGATTTGTTAGTTTACTTGTAAACTCATTTAAAAAAAGTTAAACGTTGTACCTCAGTGAATCCCAATTGCTGCTGGTCTGCATACAAACTAACTGTGTAGAACACAGTAGCAATTCTAAAGAATGGAAATGTTATTAGCATTAGTGCTCCATTTAGTTTGTAGAGTAATGATGATTTCATCTGAAATAAATACAAATTTAAAGGTTAAATCCCCAATCTAATTTAAAATCTGAAAATCCAGCAGCGTAATTTTGTACAAATTTTGTATAAATATTATTTACCTGCAGTTTGCTCAAGATGACCCTGAATGAGACGAATGGAGTACTAGCTTCCTGTAAAAATTTTATACACAAGTGTATCTTTTGATGCATCGTATCAATATCTATATTAGATGTCCTAAATTACTAATGTTCTGAAACGTTTACCATCAAGTACATTACCCCGATGAAAAAGTCTCCTCGGACACCTCGGAAATACTGTGACAGAAAAATGAAGAGTGATCTTTATAGATTAATACTTACATACATCACACCCGATTTGGGACGAACACTCATGTGTTACCACTATACATATATGATTTGTAGTATTCTATGTACCGTAATGATTAAGAAACCACAGGGTGCCATGAGCAAATGATGAATTACGATGACAGAGGAGGATTTGTACACAAATGTGCAGAATTTTTTCCCCATTGCAAAAAGGCCTTTTGAGTTTCTCTTGTGCTTGAGTTTATTTATATTTTTGTAATGTTTATCTGCAATAGTTGAAACGTAGAACATGGCCATCGCATCGTAGAGGAAGTACGGAGCTAAAAAGACACAGTTAATGAAATAATTACATAACGAATGCATAGCATAAGGGAATTAATGGCAGGCGTTACCCCCAAACCAGGCGTAGGTCAGGACGACAGGATGCGTGCAGTATAGTACATCATCGTAACATTTTGAACAAACAATTGCACCGCAAACGGACGCTAGAATGGCTTGAAGAGTTGAAACCAGCCTGAGTAAAACATTGGAAATATTCGTTTGAATAATAGGTTATCATAATTTAAACTATAATACAAGCTGCAGAAAAAAATGTTAAATTCAATTTATGTCTCACTTGACAGAAATGTCTGCACAATCCTTGTCGGACAATTGTTGTTTCTTCTTAATTTCGGACCCAATTTTTGTTTTACGATAAAAAGCCTGTAGAGAGAGAAAGCACAAAGGAAAGAAAATGCTTCCCAGCAAGAAAAGTGTGGCCACCCCAGCTTGACTTATCATTTTTTGATATTAAAAGGCAAAGTCGATACTGGATTGACTCCTCTCGAGGCTCGAAGTGTACTAAAAATGTATCCGTCAGTTGCTGACCTCCTTTATACTTCCTCTGCGAATAATAATGGATACAGAGTGAAGACTGACATAACTAATCAATAAATTGAATTTCGCCTGGAAATATGGAAAATGAATATTTGATAATAATTCTTGCCAGGATACCAATTAACGACTTTTGCTACAATATTGTATGTCATGCCGTGTATATCCCATAACTCAACCAACATCAATCGATACTCGTGCGTAACTCGTGCGATCAATTTGGAGCATAAAATATTTAAGATTTTAAAGGGGAGAAACTCGGAGAAAGCATCGCAGCATAATTTTACCTCGATGAAAGCGCATAATCTTTGGTAGCAATTCATTGGGATTGCCTTCTTAATTAATTTTAAAATTACAACAACTAGCACGCACGCAACAAACTTGACGCGATTATTCTGTACAATAGTTGAATTATCAAATGTATCATATGCGCATATACTGTCATATGTAATTGCATCCGAATGTCTTCTGACAATGATGAGCATACTTAGTTTATTGAATGTTTATCTGTCATCTGTTTTTATCAGTGTAATCATGGTCCTTTTAATTTTCCTATATTTTATAAACCACTCGAATTCATTCCACACTTGTACAGAGATTATTGTTCAACACATTCAACTGTTGCATGATATCGGCATCTTTACGTCCGAAATTACTGATCGTCTAAAAATTGTAATATGAAGATCGAGACGGTAACTTACAAACTTACTAATTATACGTATGTGAATACAAATTTGTGTGCACAAGTTAATTATGTATATTAAGATTCGAGTAATGCTTTGCTTTCGTAGACAATTTTCATCCTGGTTTCCCTCCTTGGCTCCCTTTATGCAGTTCCCATCGGAAAATCGAACAGAACACAAGGTCACACAAATAAAACCAAAACTATTATTTCACAGAAACCAATTGTCTGCCCGATTTAAAATACTGAACTGAAATCCAGAGGGAACGCTTGGGGAGGCAAGGTTGATTTTGCCTCAGATGGACAACGACGGTCTCCCCCTGGTCCCAGTTCGGGACGCCCTCGAGCTCAGGCTGTTGACGAGCTTTGGAGGTTTCACGCAGCTTGAAGGCGTGGGTGGGTGGGAGTCAGACGGAAGCGGAGGAGGAAGGGAGCTTCACCACGAGGTGGGTATACAAATTAGCGAATAGTTAGTTAATTAATTAATCTAAAAATAACAGGCCGTCTGGGTTTACGACATTGCCACCACGAACGACGCTACGGCGGAAATCCTACTGAAAGACATTGCCTTGTGGCTCAAAAAGCAAGCCAGGCAACATTCCGTCTACTTGAGATTGCCCAGTGGGGAAATTGTATTCGTGTGACGAATCAATTATTTCTAAATAATTGTTTTTATTGAAACATAGCACTAAATAAATGCATGCATATCCTTATTCAGTTGGTTCTTGGGTGAAAGTTCTTGTAGTGTAGCCCACTTTCTTGGAATGTGTAAGTTTAGCTTTCAAAGAAATATTTGTTGGGATGAGATGATGTGCAGAACGTAGTATTTCTACTATTGCAACTACAATTCATATTTACATATTAAGAAACGATTTACAAAGTTTCTGCCGGATGTATGCGTGGAGAAAGTAGGAACTTGATTTCCGCTCGCAGAGTGCCCACACCATTCCACGGAGTCCAAAATGGCCATTTTTTTGTTCAAAATTTGTAAGGAGCAAATCCTATCATATATATATATATTCTTGACCAAGGTGACCTAAGGAATGCGCCTAATTTTTTTTGTGAGGTCACACCCCCTGGGGGGCGAACCACCCCCCCTGTGGGGGGAAGTTGAGACTGACCCCTGAATATTGTTAAGCAACTATCGCTGATGTCACCTGCCAAATTTCAGAATTTTAGCCCTCATAGTTCGGGTGATTTATGCATTTGAAGGTTGTAAAACAGGCGTTTTAGGGCTTTTTCGACCACACCCCCTACCCTAAGTGGGACGCATGGGGAAGTGAACTTGGTGCTGTCTGATTTACCCCCTCGAGTACTACATAATCCTACAAAGGTTCCTTGGAATCGAGCGGGATGCTCTAGATATTTCATGCCGAAATCGTCCAAAGCAAGTTTTCAAACTTAGGCAAATAATGTTATGGGAAATGTTGAAAAAATGGTGGACGATTTCGGCATGAAATATCTAGAGCATCCCGCTCGATTCCAAGGAACCTTTGTAGGATTATGTAGTACTCGAGGGGGTAAATCAGACAGCACCAAGTTCACTTCCCCATGCGTCCCACTTAGGGTAGGGGGTGTGGTCGAAAAAGCCCTAAAACGCCTGTTTTACAACCTTCAAATGCATAAATCACCCGAACTATGAGGGCTAAAATTCTGAAATTTGGCAGGTGACATCAGCGATAGTTGCTTAACAATATTCAGGGGTCAGTCTCAACTTCCCCCCACAGGGGGGGTGGTTCGCCCCCCAGGGGGTGTGACCTCACAAAAAAAATTAGGCGCATTCCTTAGGTCACCTTGGTCAAGAATATATATATATATGATAGGATTTGCTCCTTACAAATTTTGAACAAAAAAATGGCCATTTTGGACTCCGTGCATTCACCATTGCAGTTTGTTAGTGCGGGCTGCCGCATCGAGCTAAATAAACTAATTACAAGTTATTCCAAAATCACGTTTTATTTTTATTTCGTGACGTCCTATGCTAATTTTTAATTGTTGAATTATTTGATTTTGGATTGAATAACATCTCTCTTCTTCGGAAGTATCGGAAAGTTTGTTTAAATTTTCTGTATGTGGATTTGGAGCAAGCTTGGTCTTAGAAATCCCATTTCTAAACTAATGTCGTTCCTGTTACCTTCTTCTTCTCCTCAGAAAGCGAGGCAACTTCCGGTTGTTGTAGTTCTCGGGTAAGACAGCAGCAATAAGTTTGAAAATGATCAATAATTTTAAATTAATTTTAATTTTAACATTTATTGCTTCTAATTGTGTGTATTTAGATCAACTGCTACTGGAAAGAGCAAGCTAGCCATCGATCTTGGTATGTATTTCAATTTTTATTGAAACAATAGTTAACTTGATAGTATCATTGTTTATCTGGTTTTTTGTGTTGCCTCTCGTATCCTGTCCCATAATTTCCCGTCACTTATACTATTTAAATTTTCCATTATTACTAAACTGTTTGTCTTGCAATTGTATAATACTAAATAATAAAATGATGCTTTTTTGAATGGCAGCAAGTCATTATGGGGGAGAAGTTATTTCCGCAGACTCGATGCAGGTATTAGTTAATTTTCAAATAAATAACAATATTGTTTCCTAATCTTTTAAAACAGAATACACAATGACCTGTCTATATAGGTATACAAAGGACTTGACATTCTGACAAATAAAGCAACGCCTGAGGAAATGCGAGGCGTGCCCCACCACATGATTGGAATTGTTTCTCCCTTAATTATGAAGGTTTGTGATTTTGAAATCTTGAGCGGCTTGACTCGAGGGTCAACTCTTGTTAATTGGTCATCTTCTGTTGCAGGACAGGAAGGAAAAGTTTGATGTTGTCCATTTCCGTGACCAAGCGTTACCGCTGGTATGCATATTCAACCTATGAGGAAAATTACGTTCTATATAATTAATTATTGTAATTAATTAATAATTATGCTTACATTATAAAGGTGGACAATATTTTGAAAGCTGGAAAGATTCCCTTCATAGGTAAGCAAGTTATCTATTAATTCCTTAACATATAATTATGTATTGATTAATCGTAAACGTTGATCATTGAACTGTTTCATAGTGGGGGGAACAAATTACTACATTGAAAGTTTACTTTGGGAAATTCTTATTGCTGAAAAACATAAAGGTCTTGTACAAGCCCCAGATAATCCTAGAAAACGAAAATCACAAGATACTCATCATGATGAAGATGAACATAATTCAGAAAATGTGGATAGCGAAACTCTGAACAATCCAATTATCCGTCAGTTTTACTCAAATCATGGTCGTGTAGAAGAAGTAGATATCAAATCTTGGAGCAATCAAGAAATTTACTCTGCGTTGCAATTGGTCGACTCGGAAAGGGCCAACAGATTGCATCCGAATGATAGGAGAAAAGTTATCAGATAAGTGTACAATGATTTATAAATTATTTTGACAATTTTATTGGATAATCCAGATATGGATAAAAAGCCTTGCTAACTAATCTGTTTCTTCTTATTACGTCTCTTCAGGTTAGATTTCAAACTGGCAGGAAACATAGCCAATTAATTGCACAACAATGTTCTCCCTTGGAATGTGAAGATCCTGACGGAGATTGCATAAATCCATCAGCAAACAGAGCATTAGGTAATTTGTATAAATCTGCTCATGTATTCATGTTTTACCACTTCAAAATTGTTGGTTTGAATAAAGGTGGGCCATTAAGATTCCCTGAGGCTATCTGTCTGTGGATTCAAGCTGACAAAGATATATTGCAAAAGCGAATCGAAGATAGAGTTGATAATATGGTTTCATTGGGGTTGAAGCAAGAATTGAATTCGTACATTGACCTTCTTAGAAAAGAAAATTGGTAATTAGTTGTATGAATACACTTGTCGCATTTAATGGTGTTATTTATAATGATGTGACATTAAGTGTACTGTTCTTTTGCAGCAATCTCAACTACGAAGAAGGAATTCTTCAGTCCATTGGTTTTAAAGAATTTCACGCATATTTTCAACTGGAATCCCATGAAAGGAATAGCTCCGTAGGTATTGCAAAATTTGAGGAAGGAATCACACGCCTTAAAATAGTCACAAGACAATATGCAAGGAAACAATTGAAATGGGTGAACCAACGTTTCATTCTGCCTCACCGCCGAGAAGTGCCTCCTGTTTACAGTATTAACGGAAATCTTGTTGATCAAGACAATTGGGAGAAGAATGTATTTGCCCCTGCAGTTGATATCATTGAGGCTTATCTAGAAAACAAGTTAGATTTTCCCTTATTAAAAGAGAGACTAGTTGTCGGAAAATGTGACATTGATGAAGATGTGGTGGCTAGAGTTTGCGAAACTTGTGATAATCGAGTTTTTATAGGCAAAATGCAGTGGTTTGCTCACATGAAGTCCATAAAACATAGAAAAATGCTGAAAAAGAAATCTGCTGCAGAAGCAGTTGTTGGAAAAATTCATCCTAATAACTTAAAACCAGAGGTGCAAGAAAATAATGATTCGAGTAAAACGGTAGTTTCTTCAGCATGAATACACATTTACTATTATTTATATAGAATGTGTGTATTTACAAATATTTTTGTTATGTACCAAGTAATAAAACTATTTTAAGTCACTTTTTTGATAAATTTGAATATAAGGTTCTGTCAATGTCAACATCTGTGGTAAAATTTCTTTCACATGCAAATCTTGCAATTCGTACCAAGTATTTGTTGCTTTATGAAACATTTGCATCCTCCAGGTTCCACCCCTGTGTTGACCTTCGTGTACAATGTTTGCAATTAAATCATAACATGCTGATCCAATGTTGAAAGCTTCACCAATGTCCACCCCAGTTATTGGAAAGTTGACAATTGTAGGATTTTTCTCCACAAAGAATGTATTTTTAGTGAACCGCTGAATGTACAAGATCAGAAATGGTGGTAGAGAAGTCACTTCATATCGCTTGAGAAAGTTATCTTTGTAAGTTTTATATTCACGTTCATTGATTCCATTAAACTTGCTGAGGAGTGTGTACAAATTCACCTAGAGAGATAAACGTCATGATTACTAATACTACTCGCATTGAGTTACACCTTAAGTTCATTAATTAGTTAATAAATCAATAAAGTCTTTTACTTGAGGAATGATGTTTTCCTAGAATGGACACAAAAAAAGAAGAAGCATTGACAATTATTAGTGGTTCATTTCAGTAGGAGCTTAGGAAATAAAATATAAAAAATACCATCAGTTCATTCTTGAAAAGAGGTGTTGGAGGAAGGTCACATGTTAGGTAAAGAAATGTCGTTTCTTCGGACTCTTCCTCGGAAAGCACATCTTTGTCCTCAATTTTCTTTGTGAACACTTTCATACTTCCCATGAATGTTTTGTTTATGATAGAGCTGTTCCGCTTCCTATTATAAAAATATAAAACCTACAGTGCAGACTCCATATAGCCCGAGTCAGGGACATAGTCCCTGAATCAATAAGTCAGAGCCCACTTCTAATTTTTTTCCGACCGACATAATATCACCAACTTCCGTGTTGTGGATGGTTAAAAGTTTGTTAGATAGTTTCTACTATTTGGTACCAAATTTTTGAATTAGTTACAAATCATGTGCCTTGACCACCATGACCAGTGGGCTTCTTTAACATCATGAAGTTCTAAGCTGTATGCATGTGCTATCCAACAGTGGTTTTCACTTTTTCAGCCTCCATATCAAATTTCAGCTCAATATAACGATTTTGAAAAATCAGTATGGGTCACCCGATAGGGTCACTCTGGTTGCACTTTGCTCACTTTTAACTTCATATTCTTTAATTAGAAGCCATTAAGTATCATTGTGCCGGATTCCATCTTTTTAAAGCAATTTCTAAAAATCGGTATGGGTCACCCCATAGGGTCGCTCCTGATAACAATTTTACCAATATCATATCATATTCTTTCATTAAACCCCATAAGCAACCTCTCCACCAAATTTCAGTTCGATATGATGGTTTTTAAAAATCGGTATGGGTCACCCCATAGGGTCGCTCAAGATGAAAATTTTTCCAACTTGAAGTCATTTTTATCTAGTAGGAGCCATTAGCAACCTCTGTGCCAAATTTCAGCTTTCTACGACAATTTTGAAATTTTGGTGCATAAGACCCCACCTACTCCGATGACCCCCACCGGTCAATCACTGGACCGATTTCGCCCATCTTCGAACTCGTTTCCTAATTTTGTCCAATATGCATGTGGTAAAAATTTCAAGTCAATCGGTTCAGCCGTTTTGGCTCTATCGTGCCGGACGGACAGACAGACAGACGGACGGACATGACGGTTCCATAAGCCCTGACTCGGGCTAAAAATTTGTATTGTCTACCGAGATCAGTCGTTTATATGCGACATTAATTAATCGCCTTACTTTGTTCCGTTTAATGCCTTGTGCATGGCATTGAGAAACCAGCTCAGAAACATGACAGGATCTCCTTGTTCCGTGATTTGAAATTGCTTCTTGGAACAGAGAACAACCGCCTGCAGCATCTCATGAGGACTGACATGAGCTTTAAAATTTCGGGGGTTCCACAGTTTTCGCATTAACTCTCCAAATCTTTGGACAATCAGAAAACTGCAAATCACAAATTTTGTAGTTAATTATACTTTCAACATTAACCAGAACCAAGTATAAATGATAACGAATGAGAAAATAATAATTACTCACTTTACGTCACCTGGAGGCCTTTTTATATCTGCATACTTTTCTTCACGCAGAAAGTAATCTCGAAGTGGTTTGACATGGCAAAGGGATTGTAACACCACATTGCAGTAATCATTAGCCTTAATATTATTCAGCCCCACAATACCCGGAAGGTACATTGTTCCATCAATAGTTCTGGATTCCTACGTATAATACATTGAGGTCTATATGTATAAATACCGTTAATAAATATATTATAGCACAAACCAATCTCTCACCTTTGCATTTTCATTCAACATTTTAATTTGAGTTTCTGAAAATGTGGGATTCAATAAATATTTGATGTCATCTAAAGCTGAATCTATTACTTCATAGTTATCAGGGAGGCAGTAGAATTTGAGCGTATGCAAATTCAGATAGACATGATGATTTTCGGCCACACTATGGGTATAAGCGTGTGTTGATGCACCCCGTCCCTAGAAGACAATATACATCAAATTAATTATCAGTACAGTTTCCAGTTAACATTTTAACTTATGCACACACCTGAAAATACTTCCCACACACTAAACACCCATATACATTAATTCTGGACAATGAGACGGAGCACAGCTTTTCGAAATCAAAATCTAGCACTGCTCTATCAATTGTATCTAAATAGGGACACATTCGTGACAACGAAGTGTCCTCATTTTTCCGAACAGGACGAACTTTGATATCCTCCTCATCATCAGAATATGGTTCTGATTTAATCGAAGTTAACGCCACACTCGCTCCATTTCCATTAACTTCAGGCTTTACGTCGCCAGAGCCGCCTTCCACCTTGATCTTCTTGGCGACTGGGGGTTTCGTATCACTATCGCTCGAGTCTGACATTGTTCCCACAAAATCTGAAATACATTACATCTTACTTAAATGTGCTTTTTCCATAAAGTTTTCGTATGAAAACCTGATAAAGCTTACCAATAATATATCCACACCAGAACGTCGACAAAGTGATGGGATAACTTGTTTTCTTTCAACGTTAACAAATAATCAGATATTCGATTGAATTGAAATTGAATTTTTGTCAAACGTCACAAATAAATACAAATGCAAGATTATTATGCGCTGGATGCGGCATTAGTTGAGTTGGGCGCTGGAGTGGAGATCTGTCATAGAGTGGTGTCTCGACTTGCATTTTTTAAACTTTGCCCACCAAAGGCGCCCATCAGGTGAAAGTGGTCGCTTTCTCCGTCCCAGGACAGCCCCCTCGTCCACACCCACCCTCGTCTTTTCCAGCCACCTACGTGCGACCACATTTTGGCTCCACATCTCTCAGCATGGAACAATTGGTGCAGTTTAGCCACCAAATGGAAGGAGAAAGTCAAGAGAAAGTGGTCACATCAAGTGAAAGTATCCACAATTTCCACTCCACTCACTTTCCATCCTGTGACTTTCAATTTACAATGAATCTGCTACATTTAGGTATTTTGCATCGTATGTTATGTGGATACGACGAGTTATTACATATATTCATAACCTTACTTGATATAAATCTATACAATTAATACAAGTATCACTCAGGATCAGCACACTCAATTTTTGAAATCTCAGAATTTGCTCATTAACATGTAAGTTTGTAAACATGAACAAGAGTCAACTAACGTCATGCGCCGTTGACTAAGGGTTGCAGTAAGTGTAGAGTTGTACAGCATGAAAATAATGTGAGACTTTGCTCATGAAATTAAATTAAATGAGAAGCCTATTCTATGTATTATAATATTCGCCATGTCAGTAAAATTTCAAAAAACAACGAAGATGATGAAAGACACCAGAAGAGGTTTCTCGCATCTGAGGTAAGAAAATCAAGTTTATGTCCTTGTTAGAATTATTGTTCGTCTAATATGATGATGCAGAGTAACCCAATAGCAGCACATGAGAAGAATGCGAATGTAAAATATGTAAAGGCATTTTTAAAGCAAAATTAGAGTGGATAAATTAGATTTAGGATGTAATTTCAGGGCCACGGGTTTAATTTAAATTCTTTACGGTTTTTTTTATCTTTTTGCTTACTTTCACAAAATTTGATTATTTGTACACGCCGTCTTCTTCAAGTATAAGTATGCACAAGTCAGCAGCATCTTGCTAGCTCTTGGCTCCATATATTCCTCTCATCAGAAGTGGAACGATGTAAATGTAGTAAATAATCAGATTAGTCGACATGGTCTTTGAATTTGTTTAATGAAATTACAATTTGCAAGTGCCTCTGAATAATTTGTTGCTGAAGGCTGTGATGTTATAGTCATAAAAGCCGAAGGAAATAAGAAACCTGTACAGCGCGGAAAGAAAGAAAGTGGAGAAATTGCAAGGAGCGACAACGACGTGGATTAGAAATTGGATGTAAAAAGCGGAGATAGTCATTAAGCCTGGAATGAGTCGTAAGCTGGAATCTTGATAGTAATAAGAAGTTGCTGGGATGAGCAGAAAAGTGTATGTACATGCAAGAAAATTGAGTTGTGGTGAGCTAACATTGTCATATACATACACACATGCAACATCAGATCTTTGTCAGAAGTCGCTGCTCGTTGTCATAAATTAGGACTAAATATCTCAGGTTCTGGGCAAGAAAACGAACCACAGTTTGTCTGTATTTCCTTATAATTATGCGGTTAAGCAGTATTAAACATTGAGCATGTAATAATTCCACTTACTACTTACTAGTAAATTCGTATAAATTGCAAACAGTATGAATGCGCGCTATTTATCTTGCCAATTCGTTTCGTGGTGTTCTGTAAGTGTTTGTGCTACCATTAGTGAAAAATTGTGAATAGCTAAAAGCCTCAAAATCTGAACTTTCACTGCTTTAATTTTCAACTTGGGTAGCTTTTGTGGTTCTCAATTTGAAAATGTAAGCAAGGAAAGTCATTTTCATTATCTTGGTCATGTCCTAAATGCTTCAAGAAAATGTTTATTCGTCTTCTTCCGAGTGGTTTGTGTTTCGCATATACATACAAACGCGCAGCAGACAATAATGTGAGATAGGCTGACGTATACATGTATCTTGCGGTTTCAAACCTCAACAAAGTTTAGTTTAGAGGCAACCATCTCCTTACAAACACTTTTCCTTCTTCTTCTTGTATGAAAAGTATTCCATTTATTTGACACAAGTTTTGAAGTTTTTCGTGGCGGCTTTGTTGGTGGTTGCTCTCGGATGGAGAAAGTTTGTTTGTGAAGGAGCCGAGCTGGAGGGAATACTTTCACAGTCATTTCCTGTCATTACACCAGCACTTGAGGAGGAAACCCCTCCACACCAAAGTCTTGCACCCTTTGACTTGACTTATTCCACATTTCTCTCTCTTACTCCAACTTAACGACTGATATCACATTCGCAAAGAACTCCTTCTCAGACCTTCTTGGATGAACCTTTGAATTCGTAAAACATATCTTGCCAAGCGATGTCTCGGACTTGGTCTACTTTAAGTTTTATCAATATTATTGATGTTGCTGGACTATTGGGAGCTTCTGGGAAGAAGATATTATTCTTGTGTACTTGATGCTCGCCTGCGGCTAATATTACTTATAAAACGAAATATGTTTGTACCTTCCTTATTATGTTTGTCTTTTTACTTCCTTTTGCCTGTGTAATCATACTTTTGTCCTCATTTTCTCACCGCATCAAACCATTAAAGATGATGTCCGCCATAAATAAGAAGGTGCTCCAATTCGTCTTTCTAGCAAGCAGAATGTTTATATTGTTCTTGTCACACCTGCCGCAGCCTTTGTCAAAACTCAACAACCTTTTTCATGTGCATGCTTATTAATTGACTTTCACTTTTTAGTGTAGAGTAACAATTTCCCTCAATGTGTCAAATTAATACCGTCAAGATAATATTTTCAGTTGGTTAGGTTGGAAGGACTGAACAAATATTAACTCGTGTAATAATTATAGTTTGAACCAAACAATCTTGGGTCAACAGAAATACTATTGAACAAACCAAGTACCACTTTTGCTGAGCCAGAAAGAAAAACTATTTGCATCTCGCTTGCCTCCCTACAAAATTAGTTGTGAGTTTTTGGGTGGTAGAAAGAAGGACAAACTTTGAGTCGCAGAAAACTATGTGTTTGTAAGCCTTGTTGCAGCTTATATTGAATGAAATATGTGAAAAGTACGGCAAGTAACGAGACGCTGTTTGTGTGCCCAATATTGTTGGTTGGCTTCTGCTGCTTCCCCATTTCCTCCATTTCACCGTCGTCGCTGTTGCCGCATTACATTGTTGACAGGGACTTAGCGCTTAATGGAATGTGTCTATCGAATCAAAATTTATGAGATTGAAGTGAAAACTGCTCGTCTGTACGAACGGCTGGAGCACGGAGGATACGACGATGAAGGGCCGATATATATTCAGGCTCGTGCAATTGCATGGGAAAATTTCCAGTGTAATATTTTATGTTTTGTTTGCTCGCGATATTGTCACGTACTGGAAATGTTACCACACCGCTAAAAAGATAACCTCATAGGCACCTAACTACCTACCAACCACCTCCCTACCTTTTCACTCCTCTTGACAGTGAGATTGTTTGCGGGGTTATTTACAGCTAGGAAAGATCAGGATAAAGGAATTCATTTTGTTTAGCGCATCCAAATTACTAGAAGTTTCGCATCATCAATCTCTGCTAAACCGTGTGCCTGCCTCCTGTATGAATTTGTAGTTGCACTCTCCTTTTTGTTTGAGTTTTTTGTATCCTTTTTGTATCCTTTTTGTATACTTTTCCATATCTTGAATATTATCCTCCGAATGGGCCAACTACTTACTTTCACTCAAGCACTCTTTCTTATCAGACTGAAGGGCAGTAGCAGTAGACTTTTGTAATAAGAATTGAAATAAAAATGGCTGACAAGGATTCTTCAGTATTCTCAGAACCATTTCAATGGATTCTTACGAGACGTGATTTTATGCTGTCAGAGACACGAGCTTATGGTCGACTTTTGTCAGCCAGTACCTTATTCGCTCGCACTTGAGCATCGGAATTTTTCTGTGCTCCTGCTTGAAAATGGCTTCCCTTTAAGATCGGCACATGAGAAGAATGCTCAAGAAGTTTGGATCTCCAAACATGTTTTTCCTGTCGCCTTCTTTGCCCTTCCCTGTACTTTCTTTAAAAAACTATTTCAAGATGAGTTTACAAAAATATATATCTCAATTGTCCAGACGAGTGGTGTATGCAAATGTTGCTGCATGTTAAGGTATTCGGAGTTCAGAAATCTACGGGGTGAGACGAATACATAAGTTCTTCTTGCGCATGTTATCTCGGGTAATTAGAATTATGGATTCTGAACGACATTATTCCGTACAAATATTGGAATTGATGCAATACGTGAGGTGAATTCTTGTTCATTTAAAAAAAAACTTTCTGCTCATACAGACAAAATATGCATACGGACACAGTTTGAAAATTTACTGGTGACCATTCGTAAGGGCCATGATTTGTTCATGAAATACTTATTATTGAGCTACAATTTAAACTCAACTTAGGCATACTTACGTCTGCATAAATTACTCTTTAACATACATATTATTCCCATATTAGAGATCAAAATTATAAAAATAGATATTAATTAATGATATATTTTACTGCGTGATGATTTTTGATCACCATATTGCTATAAAATTGTAGATTGCATTTGGAGAACCCAAGAATGGTGAGGGGATGCAAGTCGCTCTACAGGCAGGAGAATATTTGTAATTTAATTTAACAACTAATTTAGGATTGGTCCTCGTGATTAGTTGTGCATAATTAACTTTTGTCTGCACTCAGTCACCCTCCACCCACTCAGCTAATGACCCCAGCACTACCAGAACCATGTACAACAGAGGGGACAGTTGAACAATATGCTAAGAGAGTGTAGAAAATAAAGTTGTTTGAATTTGAGCCACAAATCAAATGCATATTTTTCTTGGAGATTTATTGCCCCATTAATATGCGAATCTGCCATGTGTGCCCTTTGTCATCTGAGGATACAGTTAAAGTTTCCTATTCTACGCTGGATATTTACTGCTGCGAATTCACCATCAGCATCACTACATGCATTAGGCACCACACCTACATAATCTCCAGTTAAAAGGCAGCCGACCCATTATTCTCTCCAACAAAATTTAGTGTTGGCCGAAGAGTTTGCAGCAGTGTGTTCAATCGATCGAGTAATAAATTGAGTTTTCAATGCAAACAGAAGTTCGACTGCAACTGGGACGAACTGTAATATTTTTCTCTTTAAGTGTCGTTTGAAACACGCTTGTCAACTAATGGCAGAATAGTGGTAGAAGTTTACATGAATTATGAAGAAGTGTGCAAAAATATTGCTAAAAATGTACTTCAGAACATGAGATTCAAATGGAAGTTCGAAGCAGAGCCTGTTCAAAGCAGATATTTAGAATGAGCAACTACTTACATCTGTATGTACGAGCGCTGACGTCCTATATACATATTACTTGATAGGCACGATTTTTCAATTTCTACTTACATATATAATAAATGGGAAAACCAAAGTAGGGAAAATGTCTATGGAGTTTTTGGAAAATTAGATTTAGAGCAGTCCTTGTCTGATAGTGAAATCGTCAATTTGTGTTGTGTCAAGCGTGTCAGTAAAAAAACAACAACAAATTCATCTGAAAGATATTGATCACACTAATTCCATTCCTTGCGGATTTTGCAGATCCGCTTCTTGCTCAAATTGAATTTCAATGTCGTATTCCATAATGCAAAGTGTTTCTTTGTGACTATGAAAGTGAGCATGAGCTTGTGGATGGATATTTTGAAGCTCAAGATGGATGAGGAGGAAGGCTGAAAAGATGGAAAGCAAAAGTGATTGGAATCCTGGTAGCTGAGTGATGTGGTATTCATATAGGTAATGATATGTAAATACGCATTTGATCCAAATCATAAAAGCATAAAGTGAAGAGCCTTTGTATATGTATTCACGCTTGTAGGGCCCTAATCTACTACACTGCCTGCTTAAAAGTAAAATTGGGATATTCAAAAGCGGCAACGCCTGACGAGCTTAACAGACTAATTACAATTCCTTAGAAAAGTTAAGTTGTGGTCTCAATATATTTAAAATAAAGTCTACTTGACTATAATGTTTTGATAAACATGGTAAATGGTAGTTCTACTTTAAAAATTCGGATACATTGGAGTAAGACACTCAGGGTGGCTATAATTGGTAAGATTCCAACTTGTAAGAATCTGGTGCAGTTGGATTACTTTGAAAGTGTTGAAGCGATTCGTTGGATAACGTTTTAGACTGAAATTTAAACGAAATAGAATAGTTATTGGAGTGAAGGGGCTGTTAGAGGTGGTGTTAAATTTTAATAAAATTTACGAATCAGGTCACGTTTGAGTTGATAACGCTGGAGTGGAATGGAAAATGAGAAGTCACGATTTTACACCAGAATCCACACTAACAAAGTTTCCAAAGAAAACGGAGAAAAGTGCAATTCTCTCTCAAGTATGGATGAGCGGAACGCAAAGTAAATGCGAATTAATTTTTCATGAAAAGTTCGACAAATGACGATTTAGAAACTGAAACATGGAAATGTTTCATGGAAAAGTAATATTCATAAATGTGCTATTCAATTTTCGGTTGGATGACACATATTATTATATAATTTTAATTTAGCAATATTCAGATGCATAATAAATATAGTTGCATAGTTGTACATGTGAGTTGCTTTTGACTATGAGTAATATTGGATTCTTTAAACTTGAGGAGATACAGATTCTACAAATTGGTTACCATTGAGCTGATATTCACCGTAAAATGATTTATTCTACTTTGCAGTTATTACGAAGGAATTTTGCAATCATAAGTTTGTAATATATGTTTGTTGGTAAGTTGGAAAGTGTTGATCTGTGCACACTTGTAGCCATCTGTGCATCATAATTATTATCATCTCGCACTTAAAATTCCCCGTTTTCAATATCTCTTCGTGGCCCAGCTTCCGTAAAATATTTACAAGTGGGTGTGTATAACTGCAGATGATATGTATAACCGCATAATATATTTACAAAGTTGAGATCTTGGTTCACTGGACCGTGTCTTAAGTTCATTGGATTTATGTTTGCAGGTTCTAAAAGTTGCATTGCAGTCTGGCTTACAAAAGGAAGCAAAATAAGCTAACAAATTTTTAAGTATGAATATCTGTTTATTTTGAAATATGACAAAAACTAAAATTCTTTGTCAGTTTCTTCCTCTCACGCATTCCAGACCCATCTCAGGTGCCTCTGGTTCTGGTGCTAGATAGATATTTAATCATCTTCAAGATTCACTAGACTCTACAATAATAATAATAATAATCTCGAGTTTTTACAGGACGCGTACAAAATAACGAGTATGTACATGTTGCATGCATCCACATGCCTCTGCGTCAAATCTTGTGACGTGGACCATGGTTCAGTTCTCCCAACCTGATCGCAAAAAATGCAATACCGGTTTCCACAATAATGCTATGCCTGCGTCTTTCAAGATTTTGTGGCGTTTATTAAGATCACACGTCTTTGCAGGTGAATCTAGATTTTTATGCGAATGTCTGTCATTGACAAGCCATCTGATAAGTATGTGAGTTTCAAAAGAGCATAAACTGGACGTAAAAATTTAAGAAAATAATTGCACTTTTTCACACCAGCCTAACTAACAATTAACACAAGAGGGAATTGTGAGTTACTAAACGTCAAATACTTATCACTTGCTGGTTAATAACACCACTACAGTTTCTGACAGTTTTACCAAAAAATGTCCCCGAACGATATGCTTAACAATTAAAACTGTATAAATTGGCACATTCCTGTGCAAGCTGAATTATTGCAAGTCTTCGTTGCCCAATGATAAATGTATACGAAAAGAGACGGTTGACGGTAGTGACGATGAGACTGCAACCAAACATTAGTCGTTCGTCGTCGCTTGGTTGGTATGTTTTTTGTATCTTGCCATCTTCATCTAATTCAAAACTGCAAAGTCAAGTTACCTCATATTTATTTGCTAAAAGAATGCCAACCGTGGTGGTGGTGATATGTAGTGAGGAGCAGCAGGGGCCATATACGCATAGGCGTCCATCCATTGCTTAATACCAGCGAGAAGAAGCCGAGAGCAGGTTTTGAAACAAGAACCAAATCTCGTTTGGTTAAAGAACTTGGCGAAGAGGAGGATGGAACGTAACCAAGAAGGTGGATATTCACTCGCAAGTTCTCTCTCTTTTTACAGTCTCAGCAGTCTCAGAGTAGTCGCTATTCTTCGTCTGTATATGTACGGTGTCAATTCAGCCCGTTTGCAGTCAGTCAGCTCTTTACAACCGTGGGGAAGAGTGGTCTCGAATTCACGCGAGAGAGAGAGAACGGCTAGCCCCCAGAAGAATACATTTTCCTTTACATAAAACATCGTTTGTTGCAAATTACTTTACCGACTGGGGGACTAGTGCATAGTTGTAGAGGTTGTAGCGTTTTGTTCTTGTTCTGTGTGGAGAAGACGATCCACTGCAGAACTGGTTCTTATTTTTAATCAAACATCATCCAATTGCACATGGCATGTTGTTTTGGGGAATTTATCAAATCATCAGCGTCCTCACCCAGCCCAGCTACCCTGACATTACTTACTTTTTCTGCAACTTGTGAAGAGGAGTAAATAAATATTAGAGCTCTAGCATTCGCAGCCAGTGTGTGATGTGAGACATTAGTCCAACTTGAACCAATTCAAGCAAAGCTGTGTGTGTTGTTTGCTTATTTGCTCATTTAATTTGGAAGTTGGGACGTGACGCAGTTTTAAAGAACAAGTGAGTGAACAAATCAGTGCAGAGAGTTCAACTCTCTTCTGAACCGAACCATTTGCATCATTCATCCATCCATGCACTTATTACTACCGTCGACTGTATTCAGATACGTACTTAGATACATACGTAGAAAAAGTGATGAGTGTGGTCGTATAAAAACCGAGCTGGACAAATAATACTAATCTTATGTGTAACACGAACGACAACTTACGTACGTATATTAAATACACTACTCCAACTCGCACAATCCTTTAATACTCTTGTCATAATCACTCACAGATATCGGCAGACGACCAACCGTGGGGTCTGTTGCCTTGCGGTTCATCAATTCATTTATTTGCACCATATCACATGGATTCGGATTTTATCGTGTGCGGCAATTTGGTGAAGAATAAGTTGCGAGTTTAATTTCAAGAAGTGTAATAACAGTAAATGGTCGTATGTAGCACTTAAAGTCAGCACATGTAATAAGATGGTTAGTTGAGTGACACCGTTAAACCGAGTTATCAATTGATTGATTAATTGGTGTTTGGCATGTAAAACCGTGTCAGAGACAGATATGCTCACGACGAACACAAACTAGCAAAAGTTTCATTGTTCGTTTAAGCTTCCTGGAAACCGACCAGGAAGAAAAACAAGCCAAGTTCAATCAAGTTAAGTTAAGGTGAACTCTTAAAAAATACTTGAACTCTAAACACAACGATCTGATTGCATCCTTTTTGTGTGCAAAAGATGAAGATGATTTTAAAATAGATTGCGTAACATCCTGAGAATTATTGGAAATCGAAATGTGAAGATTTTCTACCCGAACAAATTCTGTCTCTCCTTGTTTTCATATAAAGCCACATTATATTATATCATGTGATTGTTCTAGCAAAAATTGGACTTCCTCTGACGTGCATAGGGAGAAAAATTTATATTACATTTTTATCATTCCTTCCTGACAAGAATTCATAATCAACTAAGTACTAAGTACAAGCTATGCGGCAAAACCGCTGAAAATTTCTATTTTTTCATACCAAATATGAGTTATGGATTTTAATTTTAGAAATCGCGCCATATCTTAAAAACCAAGGCTTATTTCGAAAAAGTCAATCAGTCGAGGGCACTAGCCGGGACCTTCCCCAATACGATCCCGTTTAGTTTAGGTTACCAAAATGTATCGTCTAGGCTGTAGCTCAGTGGAGAAATTGGTAGCCGAAATTGCAAAATTTTTCGGAAATTTGAACTTACCGCTTCGGCATAGCGTTATTTCGAAAAAATTTTCGAGTAAATATTGTAGATAAAGCGATTGTGAACATATTTGCTGTTGCATGCAACCATGTGCTATGTACCCAATTCATTCAGTGAAGCATTTACGATTTCGAAACCGAAAAATCGGTTTTTATTGAATTTCTTGAAAACGGTTCAAGATAACACAAAATAGAGAAAAGTCATTTTAAAACTCTACGAGCTGTATCAAATGCACTTTACGGCATCTCTCTAGACCTAATCGTTTTTTTGTACGAGCCTCCGACATTTCCCATAAGAGTGAGTGACAACATACTATATGTTCCACATATAGCGCCAAATGTCTCAAGTTGCCCCGACATTCGAGCTTATGGTGGAAAAAATAGAAAAACATTGATACGGACGACGAGTTATTGGATAGTTTTAGCAGCAAGAATTTTACTTTGATAAAGGACGCCCCAGAAAAATAGTTGGAGGATTAGTTGGATAATAATAAATTGAGCAAGATTCCCTAAATTGATATGAACAATGAAAATGTCTCAGCTTCTTAAACCCTCGGCATGGATCATCACCAGTCACGAGCTGAGCTCTTCTTTAATCAAGTGTTAAAGGTAAGTCACAAAGATTCATAATCGTAAATTCCTTCAAACTAAGATTGTGTACTTCGACATCGGATGGCTCTTTCTTTTCTGCTCCAATTCCATAGCCGATTGATTCTTTGTTACGTTTCTCTCGGGAAATATAATTGAGTAAATCACGACAAATATTAGGATTACACTTTTATTGCTCTTATTCGTGACTCATCCCATTTGCACAAGACATGCTACATAAAAATTAAAGAACATACGTACGACTCTGCCAAGAAATTATACTCTGATATTTTGCTCATTCTGTGCATGTTTAATGTTTATATGCAAAAGTAGAGTAGGCGCACGATGCAACCAAACCACATCACACAATAGGAAAATGTGTGTTGTGTTTAGAGCTGAAAACTTGCCATTTAATAGTCCAAACCACGAAAGCAAAGTGAGTCCACCACCACCACATCCCATCCACCTGCCTTACTGCTGCACTGTCTTAAAGAAAATGGAAATTGGCTACATAAGCGTAAAGTATTGTTATCTTCTGAGCAGAGTGCATTCGCATACGTGAATATACTCTTCAATATCCATCTAATAAAATAACCCTGCTGCTACTACTGCCTGGTTTGCGAATAATACTTTTTGTACCCCCTCCTTTTTGTACCAGGCAGCAATCAGAACTCATTCTCTCTCCAACCACCACATTTTTTTGCATTTTGAAGCCCGTAATGTCGTTATTTGTTCGTCTCCTATTTTCTTTGCTAAACGTGCTTGGATTTAGTGCGAATAAGAGTTCTATTGTTTCCTTTGAGTTTACTAAAAAAAATTCTTCCACGCACGAGTCGAGTGGAATAAATGTCCGGTCCATTATCCTAGTTATCTCACCTCCCCCCATGTCCCCATGACTTTACCTGTTTATTGTTAGATTTGCACAGATTGTGTGTGTGCTTATTACGACTGCAATACTAACCTAACTCTGAAGTGTATTGAATACGATGGCACAAAAGATAGGCTGAATTAGAAGGAAACAGTGGCATTGTTTGTGCATCCCTTTGCTCGTAGAGAACAAGCAAATTCGTTTAATAGGTCTGATTTTACATTTAACAGAGAACTGTGTTAAGAGGCTCATTAGTCGGAGATCAACATTCCATATGACATATGTCCCACCGTAATTGCCAGGCAAAAGAACTATGACAATTTAATGCGATTAAAATAAAGCTTGCCGTACTTGATTGCACGCAAGTTTCAAAGTTGATACGCAAATTGTACACCACCTGAGTTAATACTTAATTTGCTGGTTTTGAAACTTTTGATTGCCAAGCTTTCATTGGGTTGATTAGAGAGGAAGGACAAATTAGGGTATGAAATAATAGATTATTGGTTAAACGAGTGGACGGATATCCGTTTCACTGTTGACTTTAAATATGGCTAAATCTGCACAAACTCATGTACAATGCGTAACATATAATCGCTCCATCAAAGGACAACAAATTGTTCATAATTAACTTCAAACCCACAAATCCGCTATGCATACGTATGCATATCATTGCTTCATCGGTTACAGGGTATTTCATTTATAACAGTTTTTAAGATAAAAACAATTACATTACAATTTACGTGCTTAAAATGAATATAGTCATGTTAAAACTTGTGATGTTGGAGTGAATTATATATTTATTGTATCTCCCTGTTACCACTATGGAAAAGAGTCAGCATTACAATGGTTGCACGAGGAGTTACCATACGGCATTTACATGATATGGCTGATTCATGACCAAATAAACGTTCACTGATTAACTGGAATGCCATTTTTCTCATAAAGGATTAGGAAAAGGCTCCCTGTGTTCAGGATCATATTCATCTATGGCTGGATTACGACTTAAATACAACTTGTGAAACATGGATTTAGATCAGTTTACTAACACAGGGGAATGCCAAGCGAAATAAATCACTTTTGATGCGGGTAACACACAGATTGATAAGAATCTTCTGACTCTCGTTTTATTGTCAGTGTTTTTGATTTACATGCGTGCAGACTGAAAAATTGGTGCATGTAGCAAGGAGCAGCAACAGAAGAATCGTATCGTTTTTCAATTCTAATCCCACCCTGAGTGCTTTAAAGAGGGCTGAAATACTCAAATAGTATTGTATTGTACTTTTGCGTTTTGCTGTACATGATATCTTGTAATACCGAGTAATATCTGACGACGATGGAAGATGGAAGATAATAATGCGCCTTATTCATAGACTTATGACTAACAATTTATCCGGACCTTTGGGACATATTTATTTATCTATCTACGTACTTACATATAATATCGCCAACTGTGTACGTACGTACGTACTTACGAGTACATACTGCAGAAAAGGGTGATACTGGTTATTTAAATCTGCTTATTAAATACATAGTTGAGCTTCGTTCACAATACTGCGTTATATTTGGATTTATGAGCAACCTCCAGAAAGCAATGAGTTCATGGTACATTCATATTTATACTTATTTTATATACAAAACAACGAGATTCTAGAATTCGAAGTTGCAACTTTTTTGAAACGGCACTATTCACCAGCATGAGGCGGCCCCATTACTTATTAGGTTATCGTACAAACTTGTACATAATACATATATGTAACATATTTCATGTTGTGATTGCCATGCTGGTACCTGTAGTACAAAGCAAGCAATCCAGGTCACAAGAATTTCGCAATGTACGACAAAACTTTGTTAGAGTTTAACTTTGGACAAATTTGTTCGAGTATACTAAATCTGCGTCGCACATGCAATTAGATTTTGAAACATGGTTTACATATTCGCATTCATGGTGTTTCATTCAGGAGTCAAGCCCTGAGAAATGTGAATATTTAATTTTACCTCACACATGAAAATGAATGGATATGGGAATGTGACGCGATCTGCTAACTACACAAGTTATGGTAGGTTGTTGAGTGATGGGTGGGTGACAAGGTGGAAAAAGTCGAAGCTCGCATCATCCATTTCGACGGATTTGATTTTACAACCTCGCATTTTAGTTCTCTTGATCCACCAACGCAAAGAAGGATTGGTTGCTGATGTCGACTTTGAGATCAATATCCTCTGCTCAATGTTAATCCATGGTTGAATTTCAAACTCTTTGCCAAAAGTATAAAAGTGGTGGTAGTCGAGTTTTTGATTCGTTTTATTAGAATAGGAGGAGGTTGAGTGGTCCACTCCGACCGGTTGCAAATTATTGGGGATTTGATTTCCTTGACGAGACAGGCAATACGTAGTGCTGCTAGTCACCCATGAAGATGATTGCTCAGTAAAAGGAGTCCACAAAGTCCAGAATGGATAATTGGATAATAAAATGGTGCCAGTGAGTGGGAAGAAGGCGATATACCCGTCATGTCATTCATGCATCCCTATTCTTCCTCATAATACCACTTCAAAAAGTCGGAGGAAACCATGTATTCATTCCCAGGGATGAGAGATGGAAAGGAAAGGTGGTAATCCACCCAGAGAGAGAGAGCGAGGGGGATTATTTTGTTCACAGAGAGAGGAAATGTCAATGTGTTCGGCAATTCGTATACATAGTCAGGAAGAGGAGGAGATGGTAGTGTCACTTTGGTTCGCAAGTCTCTGATATGAAGAATCGGAATCAGAGGAGCGAGCAATTGCATTGGATTTTCATGTGTGATCTGAAGCACTGCGGAATTGGACGGGAGACATGCCAACACTTTTTTTTTATTCTTTGCCAGTTTTTCTCCCACCATCACCTCCAAACCATCCATCCTTCCATCCAACCACTTGGACGAATCCTGTGTAGACAGCCTCATTTCACGGTTCCACTGCCACACTTCCGATACCCCGATCCATCCCAGTTTCATAGAAATAGCTGACCTGAGTAGAGTGCATAATGAGCCGGAATCTCAGCATTCTGTCAGAGATTCGATTAAACTTGGGCAACGCTCGGAGCCTTCAGATGAGAAACACACAGCAAATCTGTACATAAAAGTACAAGACCATGGAAAATGCTCTGTTGCACCCCTCTGCACATACATACGCACTTACATATGTGCAATCCTTAGTACCAGCCCAAATTACTGTTAAGATGATAAGAAAATTCACGGTTTTTGTTTCTAATAATAAATTAAATGCTGAACCGAAACAATATCAACTGTTATTTTATACGTACGTCAAACTTTTTACCATCCTATTGCTCTTTTCCTAGTCTAGTGGAACAAGTTGTTGCAGATCTTAATGAATCAAGCCCCACGAAAAGTACTGTAGATCAGCAGTAAAAAAAGTCACCCTGAACCCAGTGATCTGGTTTCGGGTTTGATAACTCGCTGCTTTTCAGCTTTCTGCCAACATTAAGCAGCAAAGTATGTTGTTAGAAATAAATAGGAGGGGGCGTCTTGGGTGATTTTACTACGATTTTGTTTTGTTGACTTTGTGAAATGTCGAAATAGTTGTTCCACATTTTCCTGTTACCCAATGTACGAATTGAATCGGTCACAAAGTAATACGTTCTATGTTTATGTAATGGAAAAAAACTAAACATGCCCAATCTATTATAAGAAAAGTTTCATGCCAATGATTTCCACAAGCGATTAATCGACAACGGTCATGTTACTGACGATTTTGATTGTGCATGTCAGTTTTTGAAATACTCTGCATTTGCATTCACTTGATAGCCATAATTTTGTGAGGAATTTTGTCGCGCATGGTGTGGTCTTCTGACTGAAGGTGGGACAACCTGTGGTAAGATATATCATGGTCGAAGCCATTTCTCGTTCTTCCGACAGATCCGTTCTTTTTACGTTCATTGTGGATTCCATCCGTCCTTCGATTGACACGTGTGTTGGATGGTAAAAATGCTATCGATGAATAATGGATGGGTGGTAGAATGAAATGAAATTGTTGAAAAAGTCGTGTGAGTTTTTAGTAGACAGGAATTGATGAAACTTGACAAGAACGAATTGCTCAATTGAATTGCTATTTCTTCCATAAAATTGCATTCGTTTCACGCATTTAAAATTTGAAAGACGAA